GAAAACTTAGGAAACAAACAATGTTTACAAAAAGTATTATTTTTTTTTACTTTTGCAACAATTTATTTACTACAACTTTTTTAAAGAAAAATTTTAGTTTAGATATTCATATACAATGCAATACGTATAAAGTGACTTTCTGCCTTTTTACAAGGAGTTAGTTCAACATTATGAATGAGAGTTGCAGAAATGGAAAACTTAAAGATTGCATGGATTTGTAGCTGTCGTAATATGCCCTTCTGACCCCCCTGTCGCAAAGACAATACACTTGTCTCAAAGAGAACTGTGCGCGCATATGCGTTGCAAGCGAGCGACGCGTATGCGTTGCATTTTTTATTCCAAATCTATCGAATTCTCCGTATCCTATTTTTTGTGCATTGATATTGTAGATATGTAAAAAAGGGCTAGAAGAAGCAAGTTTGAAGTAAATTACTCGCTCATTGTTAAGTTGAAGACAAAAGGCAGGAAGCACAGAAATTGTAGACGAACCGACACGCTTCTCAATATCTTCCCTCCATTCTGAGATATTCCATAGCACATTGCGTGAACCAGGATTTCGATAGAGCAATCTGAAATTGTTTCTTTTCACACAATATTGTTAGATTTTTTACAACGTGAAAGCAAGAGTTTTCAATTTGATATTTGTTCAACCAACCTATAGATCAAATATTATCGATCGCAGTTTTCTTGTTTTACAACATTATCAACCGGGAGATTTTCAAAATAAATCTTAGTGAAACTAAAGTCCCTTGTTATTCGCTGTTATGTCTGGATTAATTTGAATCCTAAGCGCAAGATAAGTAGAGAAGAAAGTAAGCTCCTGTGCAAACATCTATCATGCAGTTTGGTACAAACTACCATATTTTGTGTCTGGAACAATCATTTCTTAATCAGCATGATTCGGTTCAGGAAAATCTATTCTTACGTCTTTCATTTTTCGAAATGTAAAATGTCTTCTCAACTCACCTCTCGAAATAGTAAGGCTTGTTTTTGAAGTACTCCACAAGCCCTGTTCCTACCCTATTGTTAATAGATGATCCTAGTCCATGGCAGTACAAAATATTTAAGACATCTTTCATTATCTAAACGAGTTTTCTCTCAATGCTTATTCCCTAGAATTTTCAAGCAAAATGATGCAAAATGTCAGCTATGAAAGGGTGTAAAACAACTAGTACAGCTTGTTATCAATGATAAGACCGATTGACGTATGTTTGGTCAACGATCTGACCCAGAAGAATAGCACAGACACAATTGTATAAATTGACTTCAAGAGATCGTGTATGACGCAGTGAACCTGTCTTTTCTGTATGACCTCATTTC